TCGAAGGTTTTGCTATGGAAAGCGTGACGTCCCCACACCAAATATCAATGGACGTCCTGGGGTCTCAGGGTTGGGTTTCTTATGGCAGGTTTCCACTGGAGCGCGCCCCGTGGTTGGATGCACGCGCGTTTTCCTCCAGAGCCCCGTGATCAGCGCGATGCGGCAGGTATCGCACTGGGGCCTCTCAAGGGGGCGTCGGCCAGGGGTGCTGCGCGGACCCGCTCGCGCCGGTATGCTCGGGACCTCTCGGGCAGAGCGCCCGCTGTTGGATGCACGCGCGTCTTCCTCCAGAGCCCCGTGATCCGCGCGCTTGGCATCGCTCGGACGTGTGCATTTTTTTCTCGGCGAGGACCTTCGAGGAGCATCCTCGACCATTTGGCGAAAAAAACACGCACGCAACCAAAAAAAACACAGGAAATGGACGTCCGAGCGATGGCCAACGCGATGCAGCAGGCATCGCACTTGGGCCTCTCAGGAGGGGCGGCGTCGACCCGGACTGCTGCACGGGCCCGTTCGCGCCCAGCCTGTCGGAACCTCTCGGATGGGGCTCATGGGCCGATGTTCCACCACCGCTACCATAGGTAGGAGAGGGGGGAGGAGGAGGAGGAGGAGTAGGAGGAGGAGGAGGAGGAGGAGGAGGAGGAGGAGGAGGAGGAGGACCTCCCCATTCTCCCTTGCCCTCCGTTCTACCCATGGCAGTGGTGGTGGAAAGTTGGCCCACCAAGGGTGGAGGCAGCTGGGTCCCTTTCCTTGCCAGACCCCGTGATCCCAGCGACGCTGCGTGCACCGCACTTCGGCCTCCCAAGGGGGTGCCGACCCGGGGAACGGGACCGTCCGCGCCCAGACTGTGAACGACATGGGAGCGACGCAAGAAGACGGGGTCGTCTGCGCCGACATCGGCGCATAAGCTGCCCGCGTAAGCTCGCGCGGAAGCGCCCTCGTTTTCAACGCGGCTTGCAGCGCTGGTGGCCCGCGTAAGCCACCGCGTAAAGTCGCCGTGCCCTCTCACGTGCGACCCCTTTTTGGTCGGCGCTCGTGTGATGGACGTGGACGTGTTTCTGTTCAAAGCTCTGTCATCACCGCGATGTGGCAGGCGGGCGCCGCAAGGGGTTACCGACCAGGGGTGTTGCACGGGCCCGTTCGCGCCCAGATGTTCGGGACATCGCAAAAAGGACACCCAGTCCGTGGACGTTGACCATGAGGGTTGTACGGGCCCGCTCGTGCCAGTAATGCTAGCACCGCTCAGGCAGAGCCTCTGTTCTTGGGCGTGGCCGTGTGCCTTTCCGCGCCCAGATCACCACCGCGATGTCGCTGGCATCGCACCCGACCATCCCAAAGGGGGTGTCCACCAGGGGCGTCACAAGGGCCCGTCCGCGCCCAGGTTGTGGGAGCGTCTCAGGGAGAACGCCTCGAACGGGACGCACAGTCAAACCGCATTGTGAGGATGCGCAGCCTTCACACTGGTACCCTTTCATCCTCGTTTCCTCGGTCCATCCTTCACCACTTTCGTTGCCACGGCCCCGCTCGAAACGCTTCGAAGTGGGCGTCCAAGGCCCTCGCAGCCTTATTGCGCAGCCTTGCTACACGGGTTGACCGTCGGCATGTATGTTTACAGAGCCCTGTGACCACCGCGAGTACGCAGGCCTGTGCGCCTCCCAGGTGGGGCGTCGACCAGGGGGGCTGCACGGGTCCGTTCGCACCCAGATCGCCAGGCCCTCTCGGATGAAATTGTTGTTTTTTGATGTGCTTAGGAGGCGTGAACGGGTGAACGTGTCCTCCTCCCCCTCCTCCTCCTCCTCCTTCTCCTCCTCCTCCTCCTCCTCCTCCTCCTCCCCCTCCTCCTCCCACTCCTCCTCCTCTTCCTCCACCTCCTCCTCTTCCTCCTCCTCCTCCTTCTCCTCCTCCTTCTCCTCCTCCTCCTCCTCCTCCTCCTCCTCCTCCTCCTCCTCCCCCATGGTTTCCTTCTGCTCCTGCCCTGCGCCTTCCTTCTTGCTCGCGTGTCCTCTTCCCCGTGGTCCAGGGAGCCATGGGGTGTCCATGGAGGCCCTAGAAGGCTCCAGACGGCTTCGGGCAGCCCCACGTTTTAAGAGGCTGCATGACTTTCCCAGATGCTCCTTGAGTCACCAGGCAACCCTAGAAAGTAGAAGCAGGCCCTGGGATGTTCCTGGGAGGCCGCAGGAGGGCTCAGGACTCCTCCGGAGGCTTAAGGAGGGCCAGGAAGTCCCAGAATGCCGAAGGAGCCTCGGAAGGCCGAGGGAGGCCCCAGGAGGCCCCCACCCGTGCCCAGACTCACACATACTCGGATCCAGTCATACTCAGACACGCTCACACTCAGCCACTCAACGCCAGACTCGATCGTATTCGGACTCACCACGCTCAGACGGATTCCCATTCAGACCCGCTGACGCTCAGAGATCCGATTCAGACACCACGCTGAGACTGATTCGGATTCAGACCTGGTAGCGCTCAGACTCATCCGTATTCATAATATTCCACCATCAGACGCGCATGCTTTATGAGCCCCTCACAGCCAGGCCCACGCGTATTCAGACCGACGCGTATTCAGCCACTCATGCTCGTTCGCCCACACACAGGCTGACGCACGCTCATGCCGCATTCGTTCACATTCACTCATTCTTGTCCATAGCCAGACCCTCAAACAGCCTTGCGAATTTGTATCTTGGCCCACCCATACCCGGAACGCTGCATACCCAGACACACATACGAGGGTCCATTCGAATTCAAAATCATTACATCAATGTTTTTCGCGTACCCAGTCATTCAGTCCAAGTGCGTTTCATTAGTCGATACGCACATACGTATTCAGATACCTGGAAAGAAAAGCCTGAGACAGGAGATGCACCTATGGACACCTCCGCGTTGAATAAGTGTCACTGAGGCGAGTGCCATCTGGAAAGGTGAGGGAAGGTCCTAGGGACCGGGATGGCAATGCTGTTATGTTGATGGCATGAGCCTCGAACGCATTACGTTACAGAAATCAATCAGTCTTACATGAGACTTTTTTCAGGAGGAACAGGAGGATGGGAGAGCCTGAGGAGGAGGAGGAGAAGGAGGAGGAGCAGGAGCGGTAGGAGGAGGGGGAGGAGGAGGAGGAGGAGGAGGGAGGAGGAGGAGAGGAGGAGGAGGAGGAGGAGGAGGGGAGGAGGAGGGGGAGGGGGAGGAGGAGGAGGAAGATGAGGAGAAGAAGGAGGAGGAGGAGGAGTGGCAGGGTGCAGGAGAATGGGAAAGAGGGAGGAGGAGGAGGAGGAGGAAACAGGAACAGGAGGAAGAACAGGAACAGGAGGAGGAGGAGGAGGGAGGAGGAAGAGAAGGAGAAGGAGGAGGAGGAGGAGGAGGAGGAGGAGGAGGAGGAGGGAAGAGGGGGAGGAGTGGCAGGGTGCAGGAGAATGGGAAAGAGGGGAGGAGGAGGAGGAGGAGGAGGGAGGAGGAGGAGGGAAAAAAATGGAAAAAGGAGGAGGAGGAGGAGGAGGAGAAGGGGAGGATGGAGGAGGAGGAGGAGGAGGAGGAGGAGAGGAGGAGGAGGAGGATGGAGGAGGAGGAGGAGGGGGAGAGAAGGAGGGGGAGGAGGGGGAGGAGGAGGACGCCGTAGCCATTTTGGCTCAAGGGGCCGCCCCCTGAACGTCCATCCTCGGATCGAGAGTGAAAGGCTTGGTTGTCAGTTTGGAGCCCACGAGCTTCTCGTGGCCCGAGGTTCGCGACCTCGATGTTAACAAGTTCCTCGTTCGGCATCCCTTCCCTGCAGACTTCCCGGCTCGCGCGATGGTGGTATGGGGTTGCAGGCGATGTAACGCATGGAGCCGCGGTGCGAAGGGCAAGTGCCTCAACTGCGGGGGGTACAGACCAGACGGTCACGTAATTGGTCCAGGCCGCTTGCCGCCGGTGCATGGCGACTGGGCCCACGGTGGACGGCGTCGCCCACCACCATGGCAGTGCCCGCCGCCCAAGGGGCCTCCAGCGGGGCAGCGGCCGTCGACTGGTACGAAATTCGTGTCCGAACGCGCCGTGGAAGGGGGGCAGGGAGTAGCGGTATCGGTGCTTTTGTGGTTCCCCATCGGCGTGATAGCGGCGTGTGAGAGCCACGTTGGGAAACGAAACCGCCCTTCTTCCGTGCACCGTTTAGAAGCATACGCTGAAGTCGAATTTTCGCGGCGATTCGGCGAGGTTATCAATTTGAAGAGAACCAAGTCGTCCATTCGTGCAGCTGCGGGGGGGGGGTCTCAAGACGAAAACGCGCAGCGCTAAAGGAAGCCCTATGATTTGATGAGGACATGCCCTGTATCCGTGTAGCTGCTGGACGTTTTGAAAACGAATGCGGGCGACGATGGGGCGAGAAACACATGTTGGAAGGGAGCCGCCCTCTATCCATGCAACCGAAGGGAGCTTTTCACGCGACCGTGCGCGGAGCTAATTCGATAACCACAGTATGAAATTGACCTGCTCTGTGTTCGAGCGCGCGCGGGGCTCAGGCGAGAGTTTTTTTCGGCGAGAGACATGTGTCCAATCCTCAAATCAGGTGGGAACTTTGAAGACGAACGTGCACGGTGCTCATCGCGAGCCGCATGTTGACAAAGAGTTCCGCACCACCCGTGCAACTCTGGATGTTGGGAACCTCCCTTGGTCTCAGATCGCACATCGAGAGGACGCCTCGGGCGACCCCCCCAGCCCGCCATACTACGACACCCAGCGCGCCCGGTGGTCCGACGAGGACGGGCTGCATCATATGAGGAAGAGCCTCTTCCTCTTCCTGAGGGAGACCTGCTCCTCCTCCCCCTCCTCCTCCTCGTCCTCCTCCTCGTTCTCCTCCTCCTCCTCCTCCTCCTCCTCCTTTTCGTACGCTGGGCTCCTCCTCCTCCTCCTCCTCCTCCTCCTCCTCCTCCTCCTCCTCCTCCTCCTCCTCCTCCTCCTCCTCCTCCCCGTCCTCCTCCTCCTCCTCGCCGTCCTCCTCCTCTGGGGATGGAAGGCGCGCCTCGCCCACGCAGGCTGGAGTCCCTGTGGGGCCCCGGCTGCGTGTTCGTCCTGCACGAGCTGCTCTGGGGGGCGCCGGGCGGCCCTGGCGAGGGGGGCGCAGCGGCAGATCGGGGGCGGCGGCAGGGGGGGGGCGGGAGTCGGAGGCGACGAGGGGGGCGAACAGCCCAGGGGCGGTCGCGACACGCACTCGCCCCGGAGCCTCGCCGAAGGCATGGACCATCGGCGCCCCTGAGAACGGTCGGACCAAGGTATAAGATCGACTAGACGTAAGAGTGGCCTTTCGCAGGAGTGACCTTTGGTGCGGGCACAGATGGGTCCCCAGGTGCCTCAAAACGAAACAGTAGCAGCTGCTTGCGCGCCCAGGTTTATTCCCCCCGCGGCCCCCAAAAGGCCGCGCACCAAAGGTCACTCTTACCCAGGGTCGCTCTTGCGTACAGTCGATCAGACCGGGTCGGCTCGGGGAGGGTACCCTGAGGTGCTTCGTGCTTGTTGGGTGCTCTTGGGCTCCCTGGGGGAGGGTGCCCTCGAGTGTTTCTCAGCCTGGGCCGGTGGAGGGTCTCATGTCCTTGAGGGATGCTGTTGGGTCTCAGGTCCGACCGCATTCGCCCGCGAGCCTCGCCGAAGGCATGGACCATGAACCAGCAGTGGCGAAGCGTCCTGGCTCGCCTATAGCCCTACCAAACAATGTTCTAATAATCTTTTGTGGTTTCCACGAAACGTTCTTAGAACATTTCTGGCGGAGTCTGTCGTGTTTTATCACATCGGGTTTATGTTCTGAGAACATTGTTTTTGGCCTTGGAACATTTTGGGGTTCTAAGAACATGTCGTGGTAGGACTATAGGAATGTCGGGACGGTCGGTCCCTGCTCAACTTGAGCGCCCCTGAGTTCTGGGCCTCCTAGATGGGGTCCGAGTACAGATGGGGTCGGAGGATCGCGCCGCATCGCCGATGCATCGGCGACGCGGCTCGATGTGGAGCCCGCTTCTCTCCACGCCGATGGCGCCGATGCCTCGCCGACGTCGCCCGGGCACCGCCGATGCGGCGCGATCCTCCGACCCAGGAGGCCTCCAATTCGCTGGGGAGCCTCGCCGAAGGCATGGACCACCGGCGCCCCGGAGTACAGGTATCGCTCTCCGCTGGGCGATCTGCCCCCCCAGCGTCGCCCCCGAGAGGGGGGCGCGAGAGGGGCCGGTCCTTCCCCTCGGGGAGCGCCTGCTGCGCACCAGCATCGGTCCTGGCCAGCCCAGCCCGTGGCCCGGGGTCGAGGGCGTGCACGCCGGTTGTTGGAAGCAGGTGTTTGTGGACTCCCCGACGCCGCTTTACGTGAGGCGCCTTTCTACTTCCATGACCGAGTGGTTTCCCCCCTCCTCCTTCCTCTTCAGGGGGCGGGCGGAAGCCCAATCTACTTCCACCGCCTTCTCACTTCATGCTTCGACCCACTTCTTCCTGCCGATGGGCCAGGGGGGAGTACGAAATCTGCTGATCGCCATTGGTTTCGTCCCGACCGCCTGGTAGCCTCTCGATGCACGGACGCTCCCGAGCGCCTGGGAGGGCGCCTGGTAAACAAGCTTAGAGGTGGATCGCTTCTTCCACGGCTGCTCACCCCACCTGCGCGACGCAGAACAAATGGTTCGAGAAATCCGCGAGGACGTCCGAGTTTTTATGTTCATGCCACTTTCTGTTCCCCTAGAAAATGCCATTCCTGGGGGTTCCTACCTGGGCGAGACCAGCGACCGCGCCCGCCCACCTGGCTGCCTGCCCACTGCACACTGCGCAGCAGTTCCGGCCTCTCAGACTTCAGGGGCACACTTTCGGGGGCGGCAAAGAGGGGGGTGATGACTAGGGGGGGGTGGATTTCATGGCGGGGGCCATGATTTTTCCCCAGATTTCATGGCGCCCCTTCTTATTTCATTACGCCCTTGGCCTCCCCGCTGGGCCGCGCACGTGCCGCCAGTCATGATTTACACCCCCCCTCTTGGACCCCCCCCTCTTTGCCGCTCCCGACACTTGGGCCAGCCGCCGCAGAATGAGAACCCGCACAGACATCTTTTCTCGGAGTCCTGCGCGGGCTTCTTGGATCGGCGCAGGGCCCCCCTTGGCGGCGATTCCCGCGCCGCCCCCCAGCGGGCTCCACGCGCCGGGGTAGAGGTGCTCCCAGCGCCGACCCAGGAAATCAGCTCGGACCTCCAAGGAATTGTGCCTGTGAGGTTCGTTTCGCTCCCCAGCTGAGTGGGGGGGGGGGGGGGCGTTCGTCAGGGGATGAGCCCAGGGGCTGCAGAACCTGGACGATCTGGTATCCGCTGAGGCCGGCGGTGATAGCCAAGGCCTTTCCACGATTCGAGTTCCACCGGCTTGTGGGGGCAATGTGCAGCGTCTGTGCGAACATTCTCTGTGTGATTGCTGAGGCGTGATAACACATGATGGGGCTGTGCGTCCATGGGTGGAGGAGGAGGAGGAGTTTCAGCGGCCTCCAGACCTGGGACTTCTCATCCCAAGGTGCCTGATCCAGCGGCCTCACGCCGCCGGTTCGGGCTCTCCACGCCTCGGCGCGGCGCGCGAGCCACTTCGTCGTCTCTCCAAACGTGCGCGCCCCGAGCTTCTCCCGGTGGATGCCAGAGCCCATCAGGAGTGCGTCCATGCGGAGTGGTCGCTCTCTATCTGGGCGCACTCCGTCTGGATCTGGCCTCTCCTGCTAGGAGGCCCAGTCCATGCCGAGGAAGTCCACGCGGAGCACTCGGCCTCCGTCCGGACTCCCTCCGTCCGGACGTAGCCTCTCCGCACTTCCCCAGACCCCCCCCCCAGCGAAGCAGCGCGACACGCTAGCCTTGTCAAGGTATAGCATGCCGCCGGGGCCGCCGCTGGGGCACGCTGAGCACATGTTCCCGACCGTTAGCAGGGCCCGCTTCAAGGTCGGTAGCAGATCACTGAAACTTTGTGTGTCCTGGCGGCGAGCGAGGGGAATCCGAACAGACAGAAGGAGAAGACCCCCTAAGCAGACGGCGGGGCTTTTCAGGAGCCCTCGGATCGTCCGAAAAGTCTTGTGTCTCTTTTTGGGAAGCTCAGAACACGTCTCAGAAGGCCGGTGGACTTCTGAGCCTCCCGAGAAGGCCTGCCCCGTCTCGCGCCGCCGAGTGTGCTCGCAATTCTGTCTCCAGGGTGCGTTAGCGTGCGCTACCATCGGATAGTCGATGAGAAAGCCCAGTTTTGGCGTCCATTGGACGTCCACTGGACGTCTGCGAGCGTCGATTCGCGAAAGCCAACAGATCGGTCGACTAGCGTCGACTGGCATCGACTTAGCGTCGACTGGTACCGAATTCGCGTCGACTTGCGTCGATGAAGCGTCGATTAGCGTCTATGAGCGTCGACTGGCGTCGATTAGCTTCGATTCGCGTCGATTCAACGTCGACCAGCGGCAATTTAGCGTCGATCAGTGTCGATTCGCGAGAGCCAGCAAGATGGCAGTGTAGGCTCCCATGAGTTGCCACAGCAGCTTCAAGTCGAAGCCCCCGTGGCGTTGCGAAATTGGGGGGGCGCTAAGGAGATGGGGCGGTGAAGGAAGAAAGGTGCACGTCTTGTGCCCTGGAGGAGCCCTAAAGAGGTCCCCTGAAGGGGGCCCCCAACTGGGGGGAATGGGGGGGCGACAACTGGGGGGGGATGGGCAAATGGGGGCGACAACTGGGGGGCGACAACTGGGGGGGGGAATGGGTGGGGCGACAACTGGAACTGGGGGGGGGGGGGGGGCGACAAATGGGGGGAATGGAGGGGGCAACAACTGAGGGGGGGGGATGGGCGAATGGGGGCGAGAGATGGGGGAATGGAGGAAATGGGGGGGGGGTGCAATACACGTGGCGGCGAAGAAAGGTGCACCTCTCGTGCCCTGGAGGAGCCCTGAAAGGGGCCCCCCCTGGGGCCCCCCAAACAGGGACACGGAGGGGGCACGCTTCTCCGCCCACCCGCACAGCGGACACCCAGGCCAGGGAACACCTTCCAGGAGGGGGACAACACACAGACACAATTGATCGTCGATTCCCCAGAAAATATGGGAACGTATGGGAAGTGGGGGGAAGACAAAAACCCAGAAACTATGGGGAAAGATGGGGAATCCCCTTTAACCTTGCTTGCCTCCAGGGTGCCCTGGGCTTCCAAGGTTTCGATGGTTTTGCGACAGAAGGCCTGACGGTCCCACGCCAGGAGCCCATGGACGTCCTGGGGTCTCAGGGTTGGGTTTCTTGTGGGAGGTCTCGTGTGGTCGGGCTCCTACTGTCAGCAGAGAGCCTGCTTCAAGCTCGAAAGCAAATCATGGGGGCCTCGTGTGTCCTCGCAATTCCGCCCCATAGAGTGCACTCGCGTGCGCTAGCGTCGGGGCGCCGGGTAGTCGACGAGAAAGCCCTGGTTGAACGTCGACCAGCGCCCAATCAAGCAATCAAGCAACGTCCAATCCTTGCCCCTTCTGTCCGATGCTCTCACCGTACGCAGTGCCCGCTTCAAGGTCGGACGCAACTCATGGGAGCCTTGTGTGCCCTCTTGATAAGTGCTTCGCGCGCCCCGCCTAGCTCTTAACCGGAAGAGGCCCGCTCTCGACCCGCCGGCCAAAAATTGTGTGCTCTAGCGCTTGGTAGTCGATGAGAGAGCCCCGTTGAGTGTCGACTGGCGTCGATTGTCGTCGCTTCGCGAGAGCCCGCGGGATCCGTCGGCGAGCGTCGACTGACCTCGATCTAGCGCCGATTTGCTTCGATTGGCTTCGGCTTGCTTCGACCAGCGTCCAATGAAACAATCCAGCAACGCCCAGCAATTAAGCAACGCCCAGTCCTCACACAATAGTCGCTCATCCGATGCCTTCTCCGTAAGCAGTGCCCGCTTCAAATTCGGAAGCAAATCATGGGAGCCTTGCGTGCGCTAGCGTCGGCTAGCCGATGAGAAAACCCCGGTTGAACGTCGACTAGCGTCGATTGGCGTCCGATTAAGCAATTAAGCAACGCACTCCTTACACTGGTTTTTTTTATCCAATGCTCTCACCATAAGCAATGCCCGCTTCAAGTTCGGACGCAGATCATGGAAGCCTTGCGTGTCCTCGTAATTCCGCCGCTGGAATGCCCTCGCTTGCGCTAGCGCTTGGCAGCCGATGAGAAAGCTCCGGATGATGGCGTCGATTGGCGTCGCATCGCGAGAGCCAATTGGCTCTGACGACAAGCGTCGCTTTAGCGTCGATGAGCGTCGCCCGGCGTCGATGAGCGTCGGCTGGCGTCGACCTTAGGCGTCGATTGGTCCCTTACCCAGTGCTCCTCCTCCTCCTCCTCCTCCTCCTCCTCCTCCTCCTCCTCCTCCTCCTCCAGCAGTGCCCGCTTCAAGCTGAAGGCCCCCGCCGCCCCGCCCCCGCGGCAAGAGGGCGCCAGGGTCGTGCTCGCGGGCCCGCGGCCTCCAGAGCTGTCGGTGCAGGCGTGGTGCCAGCACCTGGTGGCGCCCGGGACCACGGTGCCCGTGGCTGGAGAATGAAGGGGGGGGGACCCTCCTCAGCCTCCTCCTCCTCCTCCTTCTCCTCCTCCTCCTTCGCCTCCTCCTCCTCCTCCTCCTCCTCCTCCTCCCTCCCGGTTATCCCTCCTCCTTCCCTCCTCCTCTACCTTATCCTCCTCCCTCCCCGCGGGAAGGGGGAGGACCCAGAGATCCGACGCTCCAAAAACATCGGGGCGGCCGGGTCCGGGCTCTTTTCGGCCGGCGGGGGCGCCTCGGCACCGTCAACAAACGGGGGCCATAACGAAAAACCAGCCCTGGGGAGGCGGTCCAGACCCTCGGGGGCCTACCCATCGGAAAAAAATTGGAGCGGCCCGATGTCTGGGGAGTTCGGAGAGGACGAGTAGGAGGAGAGGAGGAGAAGGATGAGGAGGAGGCGAAGGAGGATGAGGAGGAGCAGGCGGAGGGGGAGGAGGGTGTTGATATCCTCACAGCCAGCGACTCCTGGAGCGGTGCTCCAGGGGTCGCTTGGCGTGAGGTTGGTCATACCCCAGGGCCGACCGGCCCGGAGGGGGGCTCGAGGCAGCAGGCATGCCACCAGGAAGCAGGAATCAGGAGGAGGAGCAGGAGGAGGAGCAGGAACCAGGAGGAGTAGGAGTAGGAGGAGGAGGAGGAGGAGGAGGTTGATAGGCGGCAACTTGTGCCGCGTACCTAGGCGGTCACCGACAGCAGTTGTATTTTTGTCAAGGCGTGCGCGAACGAAGTCGTGATCAGACCGTTGCGTTCTGTAGTGGTCGGGTGTCTCCGTGGAGAATCTTCTGGTGACTCCTGGACGAGTTCGGTGGTTTGGGGTGCGAGGGGCTGGAGGCGCGAGCGACAAAAAGTGCACCTGCCTCTCGAGGCCGTCCAGAGAGGGGAGGGTTCCAGGCGCGACAGGCTTGGTAACGGCCAAGCATGGTGTGGCTTATACGCGTGTGCCTCAGAGCGTGCGTACAGTCAACCCGCAGCGCAAGGATGAGCGACTTTCCAAGGTTACCCTTGCTTCCCTCCCATTCGGCCCATCCTTGGCCGCTTTCGCTGGCCGCGCAACGGTCGCAAAGTGTCGACATGGCCCTCCAAGGCCCTTGCATCCTTCTC